GTGCTGCTGCCTCAGTAACAGAAGCAGCAGTGGTGACAGCAGGCAGCCAGTCTGCACAGGGAGTTGGGTTTTAAACTGGCTCCCCTGGTGGACCGGCTCCTGCCTGCCACGCTCTGAATAAACCATCCTCTGCTTTTTTGTTCCCTTATTAAGCCTAATATCAAATATGAGAATTTTGAACAAACTAAAAAATAATGAATAGTCTAGCAGCATCTTAGAGACTAATAAAAATGTAGATGGTATCATGAGTTTCTGTGGGCACAACTCTGAGAGCTCACGATGCCATCTACATTTTTTGTTAGTCTCTAGGGTGCTGCAAGGCTATTTGTTGTTTTTAAAGTTTTTTCCATTACAGACTAACACGCTACTCCTCTGAAAGTTTATAACAATTTTGGTTCATTGATTTATGGTCTTGCACTGTTCTCGTTTCTATCATTTTAACACTATTCTTGAATTATATCAGTAGGCCTTTTCGTTTGGACTGTTTCAGTCTTTGTCTCCCTTTGCTGCCTTTTCCCATCAGCATTTGTTGTTTTAGGTTATTGTGACATCTTCCTTACTTACACTCAGTTCTAACATCTGAACTCACAATTATGGTAACTATGTAAGATCCGTTATCATAACACCCCACTCCATAATTTCTCACCCACCTCTCATTGATTCACCAGTGCTCTCATTCTTCTGACCACTCAAAAGTGCTCTGTGGCGTGTTGGTAGTTCATACCCTGTCACAAGAAACATAATACTGGACTTTCAGCACATTAAACACATAGTTTGACCTTGTTGGCCATTGTACCCAAGTATGTAACGATGAGTGTAAAAGATTCCATATCATAATGTTTAACATTCCAGTCACAGTATCTAGATGAGTATTAAACAGGTGAATTGAAAAAAGAATCTCTAACCTTCTAATCTTAACATCTGCTTGAGAAAATGGTGTGATATATTAGGGATTTTCCTTTAAAATGTATCTTTTCCTTGTTTTCAAACTGCTTGGCTACGTCTAGACTGGCCCCTAATTCCGGAAAAGTCATGCAAAGCAGGTAAGTCAGAATAGGGAAATCTGCGGGGGATTTAAATAAACATGTCTGCCGCTTTTTTCCCGGTTTGGGGAAAAGCCGGAAAAAAGCGTCTAGACTGGTGCGATCCTCCGGAATAAAGCCCTTTTCCGGAGGATCTCTTATCCCTTGAAAGTAGGAATAAGAGATCCTCCGGAAAAGGGCTTTATTCCAGAGGATCGCGCCAGTCTAGACGCTTTTTTCCGGCTTTTCCCCAAGCCGGAAAAAAGCGGCGGACAAGTTTATTTAAATCCCGTGGGGGATATTTAAATCCCCCGCGGATTTCCCTATTCTGACTTACCTGCTTTGCATGACTTTTCCGGAATTAGGGGCCAGTCTAGACGTAGCCCTTATGTAAAAGCAATAGTGAAGACTTAATTCTTTTACTCTTTCATGGATTCCATTTTCTGCTTTATTCTGGAAACAACTACAGCGTAGTCAAAGATTTATCTTGGTGTTTACAAATACTAAAGCTATTATATGAGCCAGAGTACTGGAAGTCAATGATTAAATTTGGAAAATAAATAGAATGGTGCTTTACTATACAGCTACAAGTAGTAACACAGTATTACATTGACTTAACACCCTTCTTGCAAATAGTTACATAAATTCTGAATTAAAGACAAATTATTCAAATGAATGTACTTAAGTGTCTGTATAAATCCTGACTTTCATATCTGACTGGAAATTTGTGAATCTAACCTAGGCATGTACAAAACAGGTGTTGATGCAGGTTAAGGACTAAACAGTGATTTTTTTTTTCTCTACACTAGTCTTTTTCCTTAGCTTCCCAGAGCTGCTGCCACTGAATTAGATCCATCGCTGAAGGCAGTGATAAGACGATTAGTGTAGACAAGTTGTTGGAACTCTCAGTAGTTTTTGTTATCTAGCTGTAATAAATATTTTTTAAACTACAGTGGCTTCTCTACTCTTAGTGTTGTTGTAGCTTCACTGATGGAAGTACCAATGGGTCAATTTAAGGGAAAAAAAGACTAGTGTAGAATAGGGATGTTAAATTTCATCGACTACTCAATTAGTTGATAAAGGGAGAAACTGCAGAGCTGCAACGGGGTACGCTCCTAGCTCCAGAGTATTTAAAAGGCAGAGGCGCAGCAGGGGACCAGGCACTAGTCAGGAATCAGCTATTCTTGCTCACATTTGGTTCCAGATTTAAAAGCAGAGGCGCAGCATCTGGGACTGGGCAGCAAGCAAGGATGGTAGAAGGTTAACATTTACCAAGTATTAACTGTGACAGGTTGATGAGCTGAGCATACCACTGAGCCCACCTACCTGCACTCTGGGCAACCCCAACTGTCTTGCCCAGACTGTGCCTTTGCTGGGGTTAAACCAGACTTTCTACTCTGGTAGTGGTGTGCCCTAGATGGCAAGTAGGCAGGCTTAGTGGTATGATCAGCCTATTAAGAGGCAATTCATGGGGATCTCTGTGACCCAACTTGTCACATTAACTATACAGTGTCTGGACAAAAACAGTGTTTTAAACTACTGCAGAGCTGCAGAGGGGGTAGGACCTGGACCCAACTCAACCAAAATTCCATCCCTTCATTTGTGTGGGGGGTTTTTTCTTCTTGTTGCAGAGAGGTTGTCTCTCTCATGCAGGAGCTGCAGTTAACAATATACAGCAGATAAATTCTTCACAGGACTATTCTGTTTTTTAAAATATGTACAATATTTCTCCTCAGCCAGCAGATGAAGTTCTGAAACAGCACTTTTTAGGGGACCTAATTTCCTTTTTGAAGTAGTTAAAGGACTGGTACTTTCTTAGGTTTCACTAAAACAGTTTGTTTAAATATACAATTGCAGTGTTTTGCTAGGAGCGAGTGATAATGGATTTCCCTCTACTGTGGTACACCCTTCCCCAGATTTGTGTAGTTTATCAGCAAGGAGTTCTTTTTTTGGTATTAAAAAGTATTTTATAATTCTTTCTGAGTAGATCAAGGTTTTTTAAGCTTCAGTTCTTTCTGTAGCAAAACACTGATATCATCCTTATCAAACGCAGTATTTTTCACGGCTTAGCTTTGCCAGTGCCAAACACAGTCTGTAAAGTAGAGACTATTTCTTTCAAAAAGCAAATTACGAATAGCTGTGAAAGTCTAGTGTGACTTTAGAAAAGGCTTTAAGAACTTTTGTGTTTGCTCATGGTAGACTTTCAACAGAGACAAATCAGCTTTTGAGCTTCATTAGCCTCATACAGCTGGAAACTGGGGTTCCAATTCCTTTTGACTTTGAAACAATAAAATATAAATCCAAATTGCAGTATGCATGCAAAAAAACAACAATCTTGAATGTGTTTTCAGCCCGGTGAAAAGTTCTGTGGGACATTCAGATCTGTAACCAGTTAAACATATGCTTGACCTGCACAGACCGCCAGCTGATTAGACTGAAGTGTTAAGCTGCCATTCAAAGAGAAACACATTTCTGTGCTCAGGGAAGAGGAAGCGTTATTCTGGTGCATCAAATGATTTGGTCCATGCAAAAGGACTATGAAATACTTGAGAAGAGGCAGTTAAGAGAGTATCAGAGGCTTGTAACCCCTTTGTTTGTTCCTAGGCCTTTAGGTCACTATTACTAGTCTAGCCTAGTTTCATTGTCCAGGCAGATTGAAGTGCAAAACATAAACATCAGAAAAGATCCAACGTAAAGTGGATTTTTAAATTCTTCACCTTTAATGGTTTATGATAATTTGAAAGTATAACCCAACTCTCAACGTAAAGCTTGTCTTGTTTTGTAGATGTTAAGATTTAAATATAAACATAAGTTTGGAGAAAAATGAATAGCAGTATTTAGTCATTTAAAGAATACTTTCATTTGAAGATGTCCTGTTATGTTTGTGAGTGTAGGAGCCAGTTAACCTACACCAAGTATCAAACAACTTACAAAATCCCAAAGCTATGCGGCTCTAACTCTGGTTTGGTATATTATCGCAGGATTTAATGTGTTCATTTTTCTTTAAAAAAAAAAAAAAAAAGCCAAACACCTGTAAGGTTGAAATTTCAGGCACCAGAAGTAAGGAAATTACAATACATATGGTGGTTACTGCATGTTTTAAGTAAGACATGTATTTTCTGTGCCTGTTTTACTTGATGAGATATGTATATATGTTTGTTTTCTAGACCTAAAGATTATCGGAAGATATAAAAAAGAAGTGAAAGAGGAACTGATGGCTTTCCTGATAAAGAAAAGTTCCAGAATCACATAAACTTGGAAGACCACATGCATCTTCATTATCCATTTTATGCAAAGGACAGATGTTTTTCAGGTACAAGGAAAATTTGTTTGGGGAAGATCACTCACCTTATGGAAACAGAGATAAACACCAAAACAATATTTTGATGTTACCTGTTCCAGAATGTATTGCATGAATCTGGCCTTTAATGTTGAATGTTAATAAAAGGATTTTTTAATTTCTCTCTATAGAACACCAGTTATCTTTCTGCATATTCATGTCTAATGAAAACACATAGTTTAAATATCCGTGAACAGTCTCAGACTAAAAGCTGCAGGACTTTGTGTCTCTTTTTCTCAAGGAATAATAGCGGAGAGTTGCTCTGGACATTTTACTCCCATGAACTCTAAAGTAATTGTAAACAATCTGTTTTACTGTCCTGCCAGAGCAGATGTTTTATTTGCACATATTTTATGATGTAATAGAATGCAAAGTCTAATTTTTTTAATCAAGAATTTTTGAACCTTTAAATGCTTACATGGCCTTTTTGGGGTTTCAAGAAACTTTGATTTGTACTATATAGGGAAGCCATTTGTCACTTTTGCATGTTTATTTATAACTAAATATTTGTTAACTAAATGCAAAAAAACCCAAATCTTTATCATGACATCTTTTATGCCCACTTATTCAGAAAATATTTTTCAGAATGGGATTCGGGAGAGATTTTGCTGAATGTGGCCCTAAGTGAATCTGCAGTTTCTATCTTAGCTTAGCTTAGTTTATTTTAGCTTAGCTTAGGTTTTTCCTACTGGAAGACAGACTGATGTCATGTGTCACTCTGCGTCCCACAGCCCCTTTCTCTGCCCTCAGCTGCATGGCCCCCTCTTCTCCATGTTCCGTGGAAGCTGCGAGCCATGTGGCCTCCCCCATGATCCAGCCTGCCCTGGCGAGGCCTGCAGTGGTGGCAGCCATGAGCTGAGTGGCTCCTGGGGCATGTGGCTTCCCCAGTGTTCTGGGGAGACTGCACGGCTGCCCTACTTTGTCCCGTCCCCACCGTGATCCCCTATCAGCTCTGCACCATACAGGCCAGCAGTTATCTCCTTCCCGACAGTCCCTCCAGGCGGGCAGCTCCTGGAATTTAAATTGAACCATGTTGCTCCTCCACTGTCTGGGGTTGGGAAGGAGGGGCACATGGAGAGCCTGGGGGGCTCGGGAGGGTGCACACTAAGCCATGCTGAAGGCAAGACCTCTCGGGCTTCGGTGGGGGGCACACCAGAGCCATGGGAGGAGGGGGTCTCGGGTATAGGGAGGGGGCACGTAGGAGCTTCAGGGACTCAGGTGGGGGGTGGGCAGCACATGGGAGTTGTGTGACCTCTCATGGGCTTGGGTGGGTTGGAGCACACCAGAGGCGAGGGGGCCATGCAACCTCTTGGGGGTTGGAGGGGCTTGTGGGGTCTTGGGTGTGGGGAAGGGGCATGCAGGAGCCGCAGGGAGGAGGAGGAGGCACCGGGGAGCCATGCAGCATTGTGGAGTGCAGAGAAGAGGGGCGCGAGGGCTCTGGTGAGGGGCATGGGAGCCACGCAGCCTTGTGGGGACTGGGGCAGGGGCACGCGGGAGCCGCAAAGCCTCGCGGGAGTTCAGGTGGAAGGAATGGGAGTGCGCAGGACATGTGCACCATCGCCAGGGATGGGGGCACATGGGAGCTGTGTGGCTTCCCCCTCGCAAACAGAGCCATGTGGCCTCCCCCCTTGTGGACAGAGGGAGAGGGTTGGGCACCATGCCCTCCTTTACTTCCCACCAGAGGGAGAGGTCTGGCCAGCTGCGGCCTCGGCCCAGACCAACCGAACCCCCTCCACCCCTGCCCCCGACAGCCAGAGGGAAGAGAGCTGGGCCAGCCTCAGTCCGGATCAATTCCCCCTCCCCTGAGGAAGAGCTGGGGCAGGCCATGGCTGCTACACCTCAACCTGACCCTCCCCAGCGGCCAGAGTGGGGAGAGCTGGGGCTGCCTACCCCTATTAAGGGGGGTTGGTGAGCATAGTGAGCAGGGGGGTTCTGCCCCCTAGTAATATTGTATTAATATTAATACCAGCTTAACCTAAAAGTTAATCAATACTGTAAGCCATGCACTTAGTTTAAGGACATTTAAGTAATATCCAGACAGAATGAAAACTACTAGTCTAAAAGTTCCCAAATTGTAGCTCATAGATCACTGTTAGTCTGCTTTTACTTTCCAGTAGTCTGCTAAGAGCTGAAAGGTGGCAAGTGCTGATTCTTCCTTACTTTTACCTAATAAATTGTGTTGTAATTGTAATTTCAACTGAGTGCTTTCTTAATACTTTTTCAATACTATCACCATTCATTCTAGTGGGAGGTTATATCATTACCAATGGTAGGGAGTGATGGGTTCTACAGACACTTCATGGTGCAACATTAAGTTAATAAAGAGTACCGCACAGCTGGAGGCAGGCCAGAGACGAGAGCCTGCTTCCAGTCTTCAGCTCCTGGAGGGTTGGTTGAAGGCAAGATTTTCTTGGGTAATCAATGGGTCTCCTTTCAAAAGGAGGGGAAGTCCAGGCACTGAACCACTAGTGTGGAACTATCCATTTAGCTTCTGTGCTTGGTTAGGGTCACAGCTTACCAGGAACCCTCTGATGAAAGAGCCCTACCACACCTTTGAAACAGCTCAGGTGTTTTCATTTCTTTGTGTTTGTTGGGAACCCTGGAGAGGGTGGACTGTCTGAGAGTCAGCTAGGGGAATGATCCTCCTACAAGAGGATCAGGATAACAATGTCTGGGCACTGCAAACCAGAGGCTGTGAGTGTGTGCAATGGCTCCATATTGGCCCCCACATGCCCTGCGATATTTACACTGTAACAGAGAGGTGGTGTCCGTCTGACCCTTGCTGCCTTAAAAATAAATGTTGATACTCTGAAAAATTTGAGAAACCCTGCATCTGGTCACAATTTTAGTGCAAATTGTCTGTTCATTGCTCAGCACTTAGTTATCCAGGAAAAAATATGAAGATCAGGCACAACCCAAGATGTACATTTCTGTGGCTTAGAAAAGGGCAAACCTGGATGACAACTCAACACTGGGTTGACTTCAATAGAGAAAGAGCCCACTGCTACAACAGAAATCCTACATAGGACACCAACTGTGAAAACCAAATAGACTGTATATAATT